TTGCATATTATAATCAGTGTGTGCTATTCCCTGTCTGGGTTGGGGGGGGGGGGGGGGGGGGGGGGGGGTTGTAAAGAGACAAGAGACTCATTGTACTTTTTTTTTAACAGGCATATCATAAAAGGCAACCAATTAGAAATTTACTGAGACTGCATAAGCTGGTCTGAAAGGGGCAGACATCACAGCCTAGCAGTAAACCACAACACAAAAGGTTGCCTTTTTAAGTGCTGCGGAGGCATCTGTGTGCTATACTGCTCTGGCACTCATCGTTTAACCTCAGATGTCGTCTTACAGTCCATGCTGTATGGCGCTGATCACGTACTGTGACACCTTCCAGCCAGCTGGCTCTTTTGATCTTCCTGTACAAAGATTACTTAATTCTGAGGAGGGGAGGTGAGCAGCTTCTCTCTTGATGACCCCATAATATTCAGCTTTGAGCTAAGCACTATGGCTCTTCAAGCTTTCTAATCAATTGCTTTTGTTCACAAAAATGGTTATTATATTCTCTAACTGCAATCATATCTTTACCGAACATGTTCATTAACCAAAATAAGAGTTGTCTGCTCAAGATAAGCCACCATCATTTGCCGTTTACAGTTAACAAACCATTCTCACTGTTTCAAAACAACAACAAAAAAGATTCATAAGCTACTGCAAGAGGTTTAACAGAATTTCTAGATAACACAGAGACCAAGTAAGACAATGTACCCAATTTTTTTAAGAGAGTGCCGCTGGAACTACATTGGTCATACATTCAGGATGGATAAGACCAGATTCCCCCATCAAGCCTTCACATAGACACCAGGAGGGAAAAGAAAGCGGGGAAGACCAAGAGAGACCCTGAGTAGAACCGTCATCAGGCTCAACCATAGGCCTAACAAACATCCAAGACCTAAAGCATGTGGCAATGAACCACCAGACATAGAAAGCTATGACTTTTGCCCTATGCGCCACCCTAGGCTCAAGAGGAAAGACTAACTAATTTCTAGATAACACTGAGACATTTAACAGGCAGTTTCCACAAAACACCATGAAAAGTTAAACTGAAAATTTTAAAAACACTTAAGGAAATTCATCAATGAGAACTTAATAAAACAAGACCACAGGATTAGATGTTAATGAAACAAATCAAATTAGCAATGTAGAGATACAAAATGAATACTAAATATTTATATCTTCAGTCACTCACAGTCAGAAGCATATGTTTTATATGCAGTATATTTTCAGATAAAGAAACGGGGATCCCAAAGAGAAAGTTGAATGTTGAATTAAGAATCGACATCACAGCACTCGGGACACCCCCCCCCCCCTCCATAAGCGCTCCGTCCCCACCTTCAGGAGCAAGCGAAGAGTTACAATTCTGATGGTATGAGTAACTGTCTGCTTGTATATCCGTCTCGCCTCTCCCCTAAGTGTGGAGCGTTGGCCAGATCCAGTTGCAACTCCTCACAGTGTCGTTCTCCTCAAACCATAATGATCTATCTGTTCATAGGCACTGTTCACTCGCTCCCAAAGGGCCCTCACAACATCCAGCTTGCCATAGAGCAGTTCACCAAAGAGAGCACCTTAAAATGAATGCTGATGACAGACAGCTGATATCAACAGGATTGCACAGCATAAAATGAAATGGAAGAACAGACTGTGAGCCCCACATGGCATACAATGACATTTTCAGTAACCTGTCACTACACAAGATGTTTTATGCTAACAGAGACCCTGATCAACTAATACAGTGATTCTCAACCTTCTTAATGCCACAACCTTTTAATACAGTTCCTCATGTTGTGGTGACTCCAACCACAAAATTATTTTCATTGCTACTTCATAAAAACTTCAGTGAATATGTTTTCCGATGGTCTTAGGCGACCCATGTGAAAGGGTCGTTTGACCTCCAAAGGGGCCGAAACCCACACAGGGTTGAGAACCACTGAATTAATACATTTCATTCATCACACAAGGCCATCAACAGCACTACACCAAAATTACTACCACTTCGTACATGACTACCACACCACTCAATTTTAAATTATTACACTTAGCAATTCAAACTAACTACAACACCACCATCCTAGTAGTTAAGAACCGATATCACAGAACCTGGAAAATTCCCATAAGGGCTTCGTCCCCATCTTCAGCAGCCAGTTCCAATTCCAATTGTGCTAGTAGCTGTCAGACTGAATGTCCGTCTTGCCTTACCTATAAGTGTTGAGTTTGGCCAGAATTTACCTCAAAACAAGGCCAGCAAAGCAGATGCTGCCTACATACTTTACTAATCTTATCTGAACCAGTTTGCATATGACCATCACACCACTCTATGTTAAATTAATACAGTGAGCATTTCAAACTAACTTATCACAACAAAATCCCATTTATTCTCATGACTATTTCATTCTTGACCATCACACTACTCAGTGTTAAATTATTACACTGAGCATCTCAAATGAAACCATCATAAAATAATCCCATTATTATCTATACTATTTCATAAACCACTGTCCCATCACCTAGAGTCAAATTATTACACTCAGCTTGACCTAGTGGTTAATCACTACACTAGCTGTTCATTACCTTTACCAGGAGTCTCTGTGGTGAAGTGGTCAAGCCGTTTGCCTCACGCTCTGGAGGTCGCGGGTCTGTTTTACTGTGGTGCTGTTCAGTTCATGAGACCAATTTGTATGGAGATCCCTGAGGATCGTCGCCGAAGCTACGCAGTTTGTGTGCTCTGTGCGACGCTCTCGGCAGGCAGTTAGCTGTTCTGCGGAGGGAGAGAGACTGAGCAATACGGGATACGCAAAAAGGTGCGATGAAGTCAACACTCTCGACTTTACCTTCACGAACTAACAGACAGCAGAAAATATACAAAATAAAACCCCCTTTCTACCAACAACAACAAAAACACACAAACATTTGATTCCTACATTATAACACAATCCTTATCAGTGTACTCTCGTTAAAAATTGAATTTACGTCCGAAACAAACAAACAAAAATTGGAAAAAAAAACTAGTTATTGAAAAATAAATTAGTATTTTATAACCGAAACATTTTATTAATAGATGCCGACACTTAAAGCGGTAAAGCCCTGACATAAACTTGCATTTTTCTAAAGGAGAAATGAATGCAGTTATTCAAAATATGTAACTCTCATGACAATTTTTATGAAAATACATTTGCGTACGACCTTCCTTAAATTCTATGTGCACACTTCTTGACACCTCTTGTCAAACTTGCATGCGTCATGTCATTTTGTGGCATGTGCGTATGTTATGGCATTTAGAAAAATACACACATACTGACATTTTCTTTTTGGAGAGGCCAATACATGCATGCGTCATGAGATTTTCTGACACACCATCTTCTTGACACTCGGGATAATACCTGCACACTTTGTGACATTTTCTGACATGTGCACAATGCGTGACATTTACAACAATACAGGCACATTTCCTGATACACAAAAAAAAACTGACAACTTGTATGTGACGTGAAATTTTCTGACATGTGCACATTGCGTGACATTTAGAACAATACAGGCACATTTCCTGATATTTAAAAAAAACTGACAACTTGTATGTGACATGACGTTTTCTGACATGTGCACATTGCGTGATATTTAGAACAATACAGGCACATTTCCTGATATTAAAAAAAAAAACTGACAACTTGTATGTGATGTGACATTTTCTGACATGTGCACATTGCGTGACATTGAGAATACATGCAGATTTCCTGATATATAAAAAAATACACTACAACTTGTATGCGACGTGACATTTTCTTATATGTGCACATTGCGTGACATTTAGAATACAGGCACATATCCTGATATTTAAAAAAAAACTTGTATGTGACATGACATTTTCTAACATCTGCACATTGCATGACATTTAGAATACATGCACATTTTCTGATGTTAAAAAAAAACAACCTTGTATGCTATGACATTTTCTGACGTGTGCACATCATGCCATTTCTGACATGTGTACACTTCACTATGACATTTTAAACATCACAAGCATGCTACACACCATTTTCCGATATGTGCAACATTTTATGACAATATGTGCACACCTTATGACATTTTATGTTAAAGATGCAAACTTTATGACATTTTCTGACAATACACTGAATATCTCACATTTTTCAGACAATGTCTAAGGATCAACATTCTCTGACAATGTAAGTAGACATCATGAAATTTGTTTCACAATACTTGTTAGTTATCAAGATATTTTTCTGAATGTTTCTCAATAATACACGTAGATCTTAAGACAGTTGTCCGACGATATACGCGGAGCTCATGATATACACAAAATATTTGTTTATTCAACTTTCCAATACAGCATTTTCTAACAAACAAACTTCACGACACTTCCCAACACAAAAAGCATAAAGTTAACAGACATTTCCGCACATTATATGCAAAATATGCAGGAGAATTCTGGTCTAGCCAGTTATAATAAGACTCCCACAGACACAAAATTAATCAACCAGCAAACTTCTGAAATCAATGGCTTGCACAACGAATGACATTTTCCTGACAGTGTACGTGAAAACCTCATGTCATTGATGCGTCTTTCACAAGTCAAGCACTTATAAAATAAAATAATCACACATTACTACTGAAATAAGAAAGAATAAACAACAAAGACAACATGAATGTCTTTCTAACTGCGGATGACACACACATCTCTGGATGGCGCTTTCGTCAGTGTCTGCAGGTGGTCTTTGTAAAGTCTTTGTGTTTTTTTCCCTCCTGGTTAAAGTGAACAGTCAATTTAATTACTAACAAAAAAAAAAATAATAAAAAAATCTAGTAACGATATTATTCAAATGTTGACAGAGCAGTTGCCGCCAAAAACACAGCTATCACACACTGGTTATTTTTCATTCTTTATACAAGTACTAAATATCAAATGACAGATGCTAAACAACTTATAATGTACTGTCGTGGACACAATGTAATAGTCAGATTTACACGGAGTAGATGTTCCTCAAAGCTTAGCCCTCATTTTCTCCTGTCTCTTTATTGTCAATCACAGCAGTCGGGCCAGGCAGGGGCGACTGGATTGGAGATGAAGTCGGTGTCAGGTTTGGTGCCCGCTGGGGTGTCTGTTGTTTGGTGACCGGATTCTGGCTGGCGGGCGGGGGTGACTGGCTGGGGGTGACGCAACCGCTCACCGAGGGTTGGGGTGCCGACCCGAGAGCGATAACCCCGGTGGTGTTGGCGTTCTGGGGGGAGCTCACACTGCCCCCGCCGGCCGCTGGGGGATGGTGTGGTTGGGTACCCTGATGATGTTGAGCATGGGATGTGGTCTGTGCCGGCGGTGGTGGCGAGGTCTGGACAGGAGCTGCTGTGGTGGTTGCCGGGGCCGGCGCTGGTTGATGGTGCTGCTGAGCAGGAACAGGGTACTCAATCTGGGAGGACTGCACTGGTGGATAGGTCCCCTCCTCTGGGGGATGCACATCATGATCCTCTGCAATCTCTGTTTCTTCTTGCTCCTGTGGGCACAAGTAGACAATTACAACAACAACAAATAACATTCCAACATCAAACATTTCTGAGGCCACATTATGGAGGGGAAAATTAACTCTTTCGGTCTGAAACATCTCACCACACATTTCTTGGTCATTCCAAAAATAATATGATATTCTTCTGGTTTTCTAACACAGACAGGTCTTATTTTTGCTATATTTATCAGAATTAAAAATCTGACTCGATTTATTCTACTGGGGCTCTTTTAAACTCAAAGAGATTTCAATATTTACTGCTTTAAAGTTAACACCTTTGGACAGGAGTTAAGTAATAACTGCCCGGGAGTGAAACAGCTGACAGACTCACTGACCCTGCCCACCTGTCTCAACCCAGTTGCAGCTGTAACCATGCCTTCATTGGCAACTTTCCAGCTGGTTGCAGGACGCATGTAAAAAATAAAGGACTCTTTTCCACGTCTTCAAGCCTATCGGGCATGAAGGACTCGACCTATATTTTACAGACCAATCGGCATTCGGTGGGTCATGTAGTCAACACCACTCCGGCCACCTTTACTTCCCATAACTTCAGCAAGTACCCATTTAAGGCTGGGTCGACCAGGGAGGCAAGACCATTTGGAGGATGTAAGAGAAGATACTTTTATTATGCAAATATAGGGTATCCTCGTGCTATGAAAGCCCCTCTAGCACTAGGGAATTTGTGGAGGTCAAAAGAAATTAAAAGAAATACTAAACTAAAAATTTTTAATTCTAATGTCAAATCAGTACTATTGTACGGGGCGGAAACATGGAGAACAACCAAGGCAATTACTAATAAATTCCAGACATTCATTAACTGGTGCCTGCACAGAATAGAGGGAATAAAATGGTATGATAGAATACCTAATGTAGAACTTTGGGAGAGAACTAAACTGGCTCCAGTGGATCAGGAGGTGAGGAAAAGACGCTGGCGTTGGATAGGGCACACACTGAGAAAACAGGAGAACAGCATAACTAGAATGTCTTTGCATTGGAACCCACAGGGGCATAGGAATAAAGGAAGGCCAAAAAACACATGAAGAAGAGAGCTGGAGAATGAGGTTAGAAAGATTGGGAGGACATGGGGAGAGCTCCATGCAATGGCGAAGGATAGAACGACTTGGCGTGAGTTGGTTGAGGGCCTATGCTCCATTGGGGGATAGAAAGGCAGAAGAAGAAGAAGAATAGGGTATCCTCGACTTATGACCCAGTTCTGTTCAGATAACAGGTCGTAAGTCGAATTTATATTTTTCAACATTAGGCAGTGGAAGGCCTGCTGTTCCAGGCAGTCTGCCATACGGGGCAGATCAAACATACTCTGATATCTAGACCCTGCTGTACTCTGGGCACCAGTTCGGGAACTTTCTGACCCCTAACAATGCAGTTAACTTTTCCTTATTTACTATTTTTATTAATTTTTGTGTGGGATCATAACTGCAGATGGCCCTAAGTGGAGCAGACGGTGCACAATGAAAATGTCTGCAAGGTAAAATATCCACTTCCAAGTTAAAAGTTCACTTCCTTGTGTCTACTTTCCTCTCCTTCTCCACTTGTTTTCAGCCCTGTCTCCTATTCCATATTATGACTATCCCGAACTGTGATGCCACATGAATGAAAATCCGCTGGGTGAATCTTCATTCGGTTCACATGACAAACTGAATTGGCTGCAACACATCACATCTAACATTGCTTGATAAAATACTGAATTGTGAAGATAAATTCTCCTCTGAGGATTCTGCTGTTTATCTAAAAAATAGTAGTGCTCCTGTTGAGGCGATAGGTTCAATTTTCTATTTGTTTTTAATTAATTCATTGTGACACAATTCTTATGTGATTTTCCAGACCAAATAATAACGGAAAAGGTATAGAATTAATGCTGTCTAAACTCCATTAAAAAAACGTTGCCCTGAAAGAGTTAAAACAAAAACAACAAAAAACTGCTACAGTTGGAAAAATTAACTGTAAAAAAAAAATACCGTACAGTAGAACTGATTTTATAACAAGCTGTTGCAGAAGGCATCGAGTAAAGAAAAACTGTCAAAGAATGTGCTAATGTGAGAAGGAGCTTTCATGTAAGGCATAAGGTAATAAAATAAAGTTCACAGAGGGCGTTATTGAAGGACAAAACTGTCAAAGAATGTGTTAATGTGAGAAAGAACTTTCATGTAAGGCATAAGGTAATAAAATAAAGTTCCCAGAGGGCGTTATTAAAGGAAAAAACTGTCAAAGAAGGCAATAAAATGAGGGGAAAAAATGTCACATAGGGCAAGAAAATAAAGTTCACACTCATGTTTTAAAAAAAAAAAAAATTCAAAGAAGGCATTATTGTAAGCATTTTTTTTTCATGAGGCATTCAGATCAGACAAATAAAGTTCACAGGAGGCTTTAGGAAAAAAAATAATCTGTAAAAGAAGGCACTGCTATAAGGAAACACTTTCAGATAAGGCATTAGGAGAAGAAAATAAAGTTCACACAGGGCATTCATGTTTTTGTTTAAAAAAATGTCAAACAAGGTAGTATTGTAAGGTTTTTTTTCCTATTTGAGGCATTAAGATCAGAAAAATAAAGTTCACAGAGGGCACTAAGAAAAAATAAATAAATAAACTGTAAAAGAAGGCATTAATGTCAGGAAAAACTTTCAGATAAGGCATTAAGATAGGAAAATAAAGTTCACAGAGGGTATTTATGTTTTAAAAACACTCGCAAGCACGGATGCAGGCGCACACGCACACAGACAAAACGGTCATAGAAGGCATTAACATAAAGGATGACAAAACAGATACACAATAAAGCAGGAACAAATGACCAACTCACATCATCTGGGCACAACTCAAATGCTTTAGCCAATGTTAGCCTTGCACTCTGTGACCTCTCCAGGAAGTATCTGTTAAGGAGATGAATATAAATCAGCAAATGGTAATATTAGATCCTAACCTACACAGGACTACATCACACTGGTGAAGCTTTTCTTTGCAGGAACAAGTATCTGGGATGTGCCCTGTTGGTCTGCGATCCAGACTAAGATTTTTAAATCTCTGGGTGATCAAATCTTCGTTTAGCAGCCTTGGAAAAGAGGACGGGAGGGGGTAATGGAAAGAAAAAATGTTAATTTCTATTTCCACATGCTAACGTGGACACTTACATCCTCCAATGAACGTAAAATTGTGACAACAGAAATGAAATGCCTTAGAAGAGCTGCAGGAGTTTCAAGGAAAGACAGAATATGAAATCATGAAATCAGACAAATGATAGGAATAAAGCCAGTCTTACAGGTCATCAAAGAACAACAAATGAAATGGTTTGAACACCTAACAAGAATGCCCTTGTACTATCTGCCACAGTGAGCCACACTAAAACATTACAATGGGTATAGAGCGAGTGGAAGACCTCAGAAAATATGGAGTGATGGCATTAAGAACAGCCTTACAGATTTAAACATCAGTCTTAATAGTGCTCTTGACAGAGCCCCTCAACGAACATGACATCTCCCCCCGACACTTCGATGAGGTATAAGGTGGAAGAGAAAAAGAAGAAGAACCTTGTATTTTGATTGCAGTTTCTAAACAGCATAAGATCAATAAGCAGGTCAACTGGCATTACTGAGAGTCTTTGAGGGGTCAGTTATGGGGGGCATAGAGCCAGTTTAAACATACGGCTGTGAATCCTGGACAATTCATAAACAAGCCAAACAATATCTTGAGGCCTCTGAGCAGTGTTGCCACTTTGGATGTTTTACATCCAGATTTAAATGTTTCCCCTTGCATTTAGATGGCATTTTTGACGTTTAGATGGTAGATTTTTTCTAAATGTTTTTCATTTGGAGTGAATTTATCAAATCTAACCTAAGAAACAGGATGAAATTTGACCTCTTATATGCTATCTTGACCAAAAAATTTTTAGGTCTGATGAGAGTAGGAAAAGGCTGCTCCACTTATCAGCTCCCTGATTGGGTATTAAAAGAAACTGGAACCGCTAAAGCATACCAGAGTCATTTGAGATCTGAAGCTTCAACTTCATCATCCAAGCTAAGTTTATCCTGTGCATCTTGTAAGGTAGACTTCAGTAAAGATGAGGACATGATTCTATACGGTAAGTCATATCAATTGCTATGTAATTTGTGACTCTTTCCATATGGATGTCTTTTCTAGATGTTTTCTACGCAAATTTAGATGTTTTTAGATATTTTTAAACTCCGTTTTGGATGTTTTTTGTCAAAGAAAAGTGGCAACACTGCCTCTGATATGTGGTTAAAAAAAAAGATTCCTTAGAATTCCTTGGACAGCTAAGAAGCGTAACCCAGATGTTTTGAAACAGGCAGGAGCCTGAAGACAACTTATAACAAACATCAAAAACAGACAGTCATAATTTTTTTTGTCATGTTATGAGAAGAGGCAAAAATGGAATATGTTGTAACCACTGGAAAGGTTTGTGGAAAGAGAGACAAAAGAAGACAACACAAGAAAATTCTTGACAGCCTTTTGTCATGGCATGGAGGGGTGTCAACACACAAACTGATGCATGCAGTTGCGGATCGCAGATTGTGGTGAGGTATGATCAACCACGCCAGTCTGCAAAGCACTTGCTGATAATGGGGGCATAACTTTTATATAGTCAAGTATTTTGAGGGCTGCCCTTCAAAGTGGCAGGCTTCCCCATCAAGATAAAAGTCCCCAATTTTAGCACATTCACTCTCCATTTCCTATGTGGTCAGACTCTAGGAACAACAATAACCCTGTTTCTGTTTGCTGTGTCGAGTACAAACATTGTTGTTCTACTCTTTAGTGTAGAGATAAGACCCTTGCTTGCTGCCCCAAAGATCTTGGGTCTAAATCCGTCACGAGGCGGATTTTTATAACTGACTGGCTCCTAGCTCTTTCAATATGAGAGAACTCACAATATGTTATTTAGTTGCTCTTTATTTATTATATATGTTTTTCCTAACTTATTGTTCTTTTATGTTAAAGACTATTATTTTAGTTTCCAATTCAATGACTTATGTACCATATTTATATTTGTAAACTCCACGAAAACTAAAAAAAAATAGTTTATCTAATATACATAAAGTTTGCTTGAGACACTGCTGAATTAAAAACTACCTCAGACTAATAAATGCCTAATGTTATGTTACAAGGAATCCAACTCTTTTTAGAAGCAAGTGCTATCGCACTACACTAAAATCATTATTATAAATTAAAAAAATAAAGCATTCATGTACACACAGAGAAAAAGACCGATGGACAAAGAGAGACAAACACATGGAGGACATACAGAGGAAAAAAGAGAGAGAGGCATAGACCAATGTTTTTTAATAGCCAAACCACATAAGACTGTTATGTATAAGTTTTTTTTTTTTTGAGAAGGCTAAGGGTGTTGTGCATGTGTAAGTGTTAGTTATACACTCACCCATTACTTGTCTCATTTGACTGCGCAGGAGGTGACCAATTGTTGTACGTTGTATACTGGGTGTTGCCTGGGTAAGGGCGCTATTGGAAAAAATGGAAAAGTACATTAAATTTTATTCAGTGGAACTAAATCTAATTTTCCCTCAGTGGTACTAGGCCCCATTTGGGAAGGAGTATTTAGACCCACTACCTCTTTACAAGCCAGGCTGTGATATCTGCGCCTTTTGATATATCTGACATATCTGATTTCAGCAAATCTTTAATTAATCAATCACCTTTTACGTCAAGCAGTGGATGTATTCTCCCCCCCCCCCCCTTCAGAATTGGGCTCTGGAGCAAACAAGCAGCATGGTCATTTGTTTCTCTTGTTGATTTTTACAGACTTTCTTAGTTATCCCAGCTTCTACACATGATAAATTTACAGTGAGACTGTCATTAAACCAGCTCATAAAGTGGATAACAGGATTAGAAGTGGGTGGAGGAAGAAGGACATCGCACACAGCCATGACCAGCTGGACATGGAACACAACAGTGTGTCTATTATAACCAACAAAACAGCAAACTTTCTATCTCATCTCAGTTCTCATCATTCAATAACTCTATAGCCCAGAGATGTGGTTTTTGAGAAGAATGCAAAGTATATCATTGAATGAAAGAAAAGCAAATGAGGCATTAGTATTTTTTTTTTTTTTTTTTTTTTTTTTTTTTTTTTAGAAAGATGAAAACCTTAAACTGATTAGTAAAACTACTCAGGGGAAATGTGAGACGGATGTACAATCAGACAATTACCGGCACCATTGGAATTGGAACTCTTCATTGATGGGAGACGGAGCGCTTATGGGAGTGTCCCGAGTGATGTGATGTTGATTCTTAATTCAACTTTCAATATAGTAAAATTAAACATATGCGGTCCTTTTTTTTTAATGACAAGAAATGGATTCAAGAACTTGGTGATGACTGACGGAAAGGGGATGGCTTGGCCATTTGGATGGGACGAGACAAGAACAAGAAGGAGATAATCTACATTCTTTGGTCATGTCATGAGAAAGGGAAAACTTTGAAAGTTGGAGGGGAAAAGTGGCACAGGGAGACACAGAGAGAAGATATTGGGCAGTTTGATATCTTGGCATGGAAAATCATGTGTGTCCGATTTATTTAAAAGTAAACGAGTCAGAAGGTTGTGGATATGCACAACTACCAATGCAACAATGGAAGGAAGATCATTTGTGTCTGAACTAATTGAAAGCAAATGAGACAGAAGGTTGTGATTCAACATGACTACCAATGCCACACAGCATGGACTATAAGAAGGAGAAACAAGAATATTGACCTGATCCGTGATTTTTGCCATCATGTAAGATGACAAAACATGACAGCCTACATTTATCATGATGGAACATGATGATGACGATAGCCCACATATGACAGCCAGTTGCAGTGGTACTATTCTTTGCTTCCCTTAAACACCTCGGTAACAACTGGGCAATTAAAGCATTTTATGGGTTATTCCATGTGGCTCTGTAATGTTTCCCAGGGTTCAACTGCTGGGGAGGGCAGTTTATTAAGACAGTTCTCGTGGTTTTCAGACAGTGGAGGAATGCAAATATCACCATGCAACATTCCCCCAGTCAGCAGTACATACATCACTGCCACTCTTCAGCAAGGGCACAAGGGCACTCATCAAAGACCAGTGATCAGTGGTTTTACTCTTGTGGAGTTACTGAGGAGGGGATCACAGCACCTATAGATCTGTCCGAGGTGCTAAAGTGAAGACGGTACACATATTTCAGGGGTGGGTGGGGGGAGGGGGGGGGGGAAGGTGTGTCAATCAATCAATCCTCAGTGTGCCCAGAGGCACACAAGGCAGAGACAAACTGTCGCCACTCAATTCGATCCTGAGCCATCCCCTCTGTCTCTAGTTTTGGTCCTTCGTTTAACCTTGAGTTCAGCCTCAAAGATTCACCTCTAAGTGCCTCTGGGCTTGCTTCTTCCTTGTTGTCCTTGTGATGTCCATTGCATTGCCTGGGTGGGGTGTATGTGTGTGTTATTCCACCAGCTACTGCTCACTTACAAGCTCTATTTGAGGGGGTGGTTCCCCTAATTCAGCCCTATTAGGCAGACAAGGAAAAAAGAATCATATACAAGTATGGCTGACTGGACCTAATGACAGACGTGAATTCAGGCATAGTGCTTATTATTTCATGAAAACAGAACAAAGTTACCCTTTCCATCTCATCATTCAACCAGTCTATAGCCCAGGTCCATCTGCGTTTGATGTCTCCATTGGTCTGCAGCATTGAGGCAGCAGTCGGACAGCTGTGAACATGTACAAAATATTTTATCTGAACATCTCATTTTTTATCACAACACTGGCAGCAGCTCCCCGTGTGGGTTTCAGGGTTCTATTGATGGGGGAAACAAGAAAAGACCCTCTGCCTCCCCAACAAGCATATTGTCAGAACCAATTAACTGGGGGAAGGGGGGTCTTCCTTTGAAATTGAAGTGCATCTGCCTGAGAGGCAAGGAACTAAAACTCTGCATACAAATAGGTCAATCTGTAAAACGGGTGTGCACGAGCAACACTCAGGTTCTGGAACAAGACTTAAGCGCAGAGGTGGACAAACAACCAGAACTTTTCATTGAGTTTACAGCCGGTGAAGAAGAAGGGGACTGGCAGTAGCAAGTACCTCAGCATCCTGACAGAAATAATGGAAACAGAGGGCTTGTGTTAAGCGTCACTGACAATGGTCTGGGCCTTCTTACTGTCAGCAGAACCCAGCTAGAAAGGTTGGACCAAGTGGAAAATGAGGCCATGAGACTCATATTTGGCTGCACAAAAGACACCATCTGCCACGCCATGCGATATGTTCTGGGCTTGCCGACGATGGCTACCAGACGTAAAGTTGCAGTCACACGTACATAAGGGTATTTTAAGACGTTAATCACCTACTGCACACACAACGTAAAAGACATGCGTCTCAAAAGAGGCCGCTCCTGGACAGCCAATAGTGAAGATTTAATCAAGCAGATATCTGACCTTGAGAAGAATTGACGTATACACCAGTAGACATGCATGGCATTTCTAAAGTTGTCATCACACTGGGGAGGTACTGCAGGGATCAGATTCCTGAGGCTGTACTAGCATGGGCAGTAAAGCAACAGCCACATCTGCAGTAATTGTATCAGACTCCATAAACTTGCTTCAGAAACTAGCAATATGCGCTCTGAATGGGTAGAAAGCATTCAAAAAAATCGCACTTAACCTCACTCACTTGGATCTAAACACCTGGTTATGCTGGCATAAAAAGGTAATGAGCGAGCGAACCAACTGGCAAGTATTGCATCAATTCAATGGGAAGATGCATGGACAGAGCAAATATCAACACTGTACGGACTGGCTAGTGGACAATGATGACTCTCTTAAACTAACAAGATTGCACAAACATGGGGAGCATGGTACACATCTATGTAAAGCAGATCTATGCCGCCTTTCGAGGCCCCAATGCCATGTAGTGGAGTTTTCACAAGCTGTTTCTTTTTCCTCCGTACAAGGTTACAACCTGGTCCCCCCCTCGGAGGGAGTAACCTCTGTGTGGGAACAATTAGTAGAAGTACCGTGGAGGGGCTGCTGCATAGGAGGACTGAGCACGCATGGGAATTGTGATAACATAACATAACAGGGGGTGACTATGAACTAGTATACAGGAATTCACTGACACCAAATGACTAGGGAGCTCCATGAGGGGTTAAGGAAAAGGACACACATAGCAACAACTAAATTTTGTGGTTAAAGCCTTAAATGATGAGTCATCATCAGCCTGTTTTGCCATTATTTGTTGCACAGGACATAGGGCTCAGAGTCTATTCCTCCATTCTGTTCTCTACTCTGCAATCCCTTTGAAATAATGGGTGGCAATCAGTCCAGCACCTTTGGCCTCTCTCATCAACGTTTGTTTTAAGGTTTCTTTTGGATGTCCTTGCTTCCTCAATCCCTTTATTTCTTATTTTAGTGCTTTTTTAGTGATTCTCTGTTCATTTCCTCTAAGGACACATCCAATACAGCGCAATCTTCTCCGTCTTGTCTCATAACTGTTGTTACCAGTGGCTGCCCAGACATTTCTTTTATTGAAGAGTACTCGCTGATAAAGAATTCAGTCAAAAAGTTCCAATGTTTCTGTGCGTGTCTTTTTCCTTTGTTCCTTACAAGACTGTAGGCGAGCCATGGTAGAGTAGGGCCATACCTGCCAACTCGAAGGTCTAGGATTCAAAGCCTCACTGAAGTAGATTTCCCCCACAAAACTTACCTAGTTCAACCCAGACCAAAATGAATATCAGGTGATGTCATCAGAAGTAAAGGCACTAGTGTGATGTTGACAGTGGTTTTGCAGTTTTATGAGGGATGAAACCTTTGAACAGCAGCTTACATGGGGGAAAATGGACTGGCAGTTGAAGTCTTACTGAACTGCACATTAAAGCCCTGGTTAAAAGAAATGTATGCAGCTTTTTTAAACAAAAGAGGTGGAATCAAGGAAGGAAGGCTAATAGGGTGAAAATATTAGGCCAAAGAGGCAGGTAAAGACAGAGAAAGGACAGCAAATAATATAACAAATACCAACTTCATTAATTATAAGTGATAAAGAACTGGTGACTCACGAATGACATACATTTTCTACAGCAAACAACCTCCTCTCTGGTGTGCACCTTACTGAATGAAGAGAAACACAGAATCATATTCTACAGTATACACCCATATACAACTCATGTTAGCGATATAAAGACAAAAATTATATGGCAACCAACCCTCTCTGTGAAGCACAACTTACTGTGTGAAAATAGCTACAGAAACATTCTACAGCAACCAGCCCGCCCTATCAAGCACAATTCACAGTGTGAACAGAGCTACAAAAAACAACAACTCTCTCTCCAACTGGTTCACAACTCACTGTGTGAAGAGAGAGACCATCAGCTTGATACACTGGTAGGCTCTCTTCTGGTAGTGGTTCTTGGATCTCTGGATGGTGTCAAACAGGCCATCTCTGTCGTCAGGGATACCCTTGAGAGCATTGTGGATGCGGTGTGTCTGCCAGGAATCCTCTAACAAAAGCATCTGTAGCAGCAGGTCCATGTAGGGCCTCAGTTCATACGTGTAAGAGTAGGCCACCTGCAGAAAAAACATGGATGAGATATACATTTCTATTTACAATAATAATTCTTCTTAGAAAGGACATCATCATCAGCTGGCAAAAGAGGAGATGACTAGATGTAACAGAGCCAACCAACTTATTGAGCAAATGACACCAAAACTAGGAAACAAACATCTATCAGTAGAAACCAAAAGAGCACTCTATCGCACAATCTTCTTGTCAACCCTGTGCTACCAGTGCCCAGACCCGGTCAATGACAGAAAAAGTGAAAAGAAAATTACAAGTGACATGAGATTCCTACAAGAAAACATAAGATCATGAATGAAGAAATCCGAAGAATAAGGGTAGCGGCAGATCTGGATTTCATTAGAAGGCACGAATGGGCACATTCCCGTAAAATTATTCTTTACCTCGACACCGCAAGGTACCAGAAGCCTGAGATGAAATGAGTCCAGGTAATCAGGTAATAGCAGTTTCAACATCACAACAAACAGGTCACCCATCAGTTGCCAGCAAAAACCACACACAATGCCCGCCACAGCCTCTTGTGAAAAACAATGGAGAAACAGACTGCACACTCTGCTCAGCCAAATAGTCTTCATAAATATTACATGCATAAGGCAGCCGTCAGAACTGCCGACAAGGTCCAACACTAGGAATGCAGTTCATTGTCGATGGAAACAGCAGTTACAACAGATCAGCAGTTGGACGCGCAGTTAATTGCTTATAGTCCACATGATGTAATGTTGGTAAGCATGCCTGTCCCGTTTTCTGTCTCATGATGTTGGTAATCATGCCTGTCCTGTTTTCCATCTCATGATGTTGGTAAGCATGCCTGTCCCGTTTTCTGTCTCATGATGTTGGTAATCATGCCTGTCCCGTTTTCTGTCTCATGATGTTGGTAATCATGCCTGTCCTGTTTTCCATCTCATGATGTTGGTAATCATGCCTGTCCCGTTTTCTGTCTCATGATGTTGGTAATCATGCCTGTCCCGTTTTCTGTCTCATGATGTTGGTAATCATGCCTGTCCCGTTTTCTGTCTCATGATGTTGGTAATCATGCCTGTCCCGTTTTCCATCTCATGATGTTGGTAAGCATGCCTGTCCCGTTTTCTGTCTCATGATGTTGGTAATCATGCCTTTCCTGTTTTCTGTCTCATGATGTTGGTAATCATGCCTGTCCCGTTTTCCATCTAATGATGTTGGTAATCATGCCTGTCCCGTTTTCCATCTAATGATGTTGGTAATCATGCCTGTCCCGTTTTCTGTCTCATAATGTTGGTAAGCATGCCTGTCCCGTTTTCTGTCTCATGATGTTGGTAATCATGCCCTGTCCCGTTTTCTGTCTCATGATGTTGGTAATCATGCCTGTCCCGTTTTCTGTCTCATGATGTTGGTAATCATGCCTGTCCCGTTTTCTGTCTCATGATGTTGGTAATCATGCCCTGTCCCGTTTTCTGTCTCATGATGTTGGTAATCATGCCTGTCCCGTTTTCTGTCTCATGATGTTGGTAATCATGCCTGTCCCGTTTTCTGTCTCATGATGTTGGTAATCATGCCTGTCCCGTTTTCTGTCTCATGATGTTGGTAATCATGCCTGTCCCGTTTTCTGTCTCATGATGTTGGTAATTATGCCTGTCCCGTTTTCTGTCTCATGATGTTGGTAATTATGCCTGTCCCGTTTTCTGTCTCATGATGTTGGTAATTATGCCTGTCCCGTTTTCTGTCTCATGATGTTGGTAATTATGCCTGTCCTGTTTTCTGTCTCATGATGTTGGTAATCATGCCTGTCCCGTTTTCTGTCTCAAGTGCTTGCATTCCTTTCTTCATGCTGTGATGCCAAACAGTTCAGAATCTTCTCTCGTAGACTCCATCTGCTTCTCATTCTCTCCAACTTTCCCAATGTCATAATGCACTCCAGTTCTCCCATTTTGACACAGTGACCAAAGATTGTAAGCTGTCTCTTCCGTGGTGGATGATCAATCATAACATTACAAGGACCCATGTGGACATACAATCTGGGATATGCAGGAGTGTGAGGAGATGAAAGAGTGGATTTTCTGGCTACAAAATTGAAAGCTACAGCAACACTCATACTGGACAAACTGTACATTCTGAAAACCATTAATGAATGAACGAGGATAAAAGAAATGAGATTAGATCAAATAACATGTGCAAGAAAGTGTGAAAGAAGAATTAGGTGTGGATTCAATAAGGAGGGACATATGAAATGATGAGAATGATGTGTGTATAAGCAGTAAGTACTATGGGAACATAGCTGGAAAGAGAGCAAGAGGAAGGCAAACAGATAAATACCTGGATGGCATGGCCATATGGATGAGGCAAGACAAAACACTGACCTGATCCCTGATTCAGGTGATCATGTGAGATGGCGAAACAAGAAAGCCTGTGCTTACCGGCACGGCACAAGATGATGATTCTGCACAGACACCAGCTATTGACTGTTTGCAGTTTATTAGCAACTGCCTTTTTTAAGCTTCATGTTTCTGTTCCGAACAACTGTACATGTTTAAATATCAAAATTAACTCCAGGTTTAGCACTGATTTTTGTGTTGCCTGTTTGACTTCCAGATGTCACAGTGATAAGAAAACTTCTCTTGCCTCTTTTATTTTATGGGCTTCCTGTCAATTTCCTGGTACCCAGTGTGTGTGTGTATATATTAACCATAAACGCATACAAATATATGTTGTTTTTTTAAACGCACCTACACATACAAATATATGTCAGATGCAAAAACTGAGCCAATGAGATTTAAATGACAAAGCCTGAGCTCTCACACGCACACAGAGAGAGAGAGGGAGGAGAGAGAGAGGGAGGAAAGAAGGGAGGAAGAGAGAGGGAGGGGGAGAGAGAGAGGGAGAGAGAGAGAGAGAGAGAGAGAGAGAGAGAGAGAGAGAGAGAGAGAGAGAGAGAGAGAGAGAGAGAGAGAGAGAGAGAGAGAGAGAGAGAGAGAGAGAGAGAGAGAGAGAGAGAGAGAGAGAGAGCACAGTTGCTTTAACTCGTAGGCTTCACAGGCCTGACGATTCAAATAATGACACATCCAATTTCAATCAGGTGCCGTCTCCACCATGCCGGCTGGCTGCAATAGATCTCCAGCATGCTCTGTCTCTCGTCTTGGTAGTACACTCTCTCAGACTGCTGTTTGTTAACCTCTCAATGTTTTCCTCCATCTTGCATTGTTGACAGCCCCTTGCTCTCTTGCCTTCAATTTTTTTCCTCCAGTATGACTTTTAATGTGGCTGAAAGATTTCAATTATTATTTACATTTTCTCCCCCAGTAACTCTCTTTTCATGCGCAGTCATTAGAAAACCTGTTTCTGGACTCGTTTTTGTTTCCATGAAATACTACCTATTCTTCTCTATGCCCACACTTCCAGAGAGACTTTTGATTTTCTAGTTGCCTGTATACTGTCCAATATAAACAAGGCATATTTCACTATTACTTGCCTGCCACAGCAATTCACTCAGCACCACTGAAGAAAAGTGGGGATTCTCCCAGGAACAGTACTGCAGGAAGAAAACAAACAAAAATTACACAAATGAATAAGATTACCTATTCACTCTGTATGACCAAACTACTAATTATTCATATATTCTTTGTCTTCGAGTTCTCCGGCGGAAAGTTCTGGTTGTTCACCCACTTCTGGACCTTGGTCTTGTTCCAAAACTTGAGTTTTACAGATCTGCTTATTTGTATGCAGTTGGTTTCTCGTCTCAGGCAGATGTCCTCCGATTTCAAAGGGAACAACCCTAATTATGTCACGTTTTTACAACATGCTGAAGGGGGGCAGAAAGAGTGCCCCCCCCCCCTTTCATCTAAAGTGGGGCTTCAGAACTCACACAGGAAAATCATATATTCAAAACCAGCCTACTGCTGTCCTTCTCAAGAGTGGCCCAAATGTTTAATCTTTGGGCTTATGCAATAAATCCCTGTTGCAGGAGGTTTAAAAAAGAATTATCGCATGCTTTATATAAAGCCAATATCAACACATGGTTGTGAATCCCAGACAATTAATAAACAAGCCAAACAGATGTTTTAAAAGAGGTTAGGGTCTGAAGACAACTTATGACAAACATCAGAAACAGTCAAATATTTCTGGCCATCTTAAGATAAAGGGGACTGCAGCATGTGCCCTGGTATGCTACATTAAAACTATATATGTCCCTATGTGGGATGCAATTTCTCGTTATCTGAAGCCCCCCCCCCCCCCCCCCCCCCCAATAACAGGGTGATCCTCAGCCAAATGGTGGCACTTTGTGTCTCCAGGTGTTTATTGCTCGGTGTGATGTCCTGGTGGGGTAAAATGTCAGTCAGTCAGTCAAGTGTTGCAAACGTGTGGGAAAGACAAAAAAATAGATAGAGGAAAGCAGCGCTAGAAAATTCCTTAAAGCCTTTTATCATGCCATGGTGGGTGTCAGCACATGAACTGATACATGCTGTTGGAAATCACAGGTTGTGGAGAGACATGATTGCCCATGCTGATCAGCAAGGCTAGAGATGATGATCTCTAGGCTAAACATGACATAGAACTTGGAGACAAAGTATCAAGGCAAGTGGAGCTCTTCAATGCTTGCTGATTCCTGCTGGACTGTGACTAAAGACACCTCATCGACTGACTACAAGAGGCAAGCAAAGAATGCTCGAACAGCGCCTGAATAATGATTGAAAAGTTCAAATGTTTCTTTTTAAAACACTTTATGTGAACTTTAAATATTTGTTATTTATTGTTTCTATCATTTTATGTTGAAATATCTATTAACTGAGCATGCAACAACAATTTTTTTAAAGCTAAAATAGAAAGACTAACTGTTCACTCCAGGGATTTAAAAGAGCAAACATTATTTGTATTAGGTGCACTGTAAATTCGACATTGAAAAAAAAAGCCAGTTGGTAAATTTCATTATATTTGAAATCAACAAGTCAAAATCAATCAGAAATGATGTATTTACATTCTGGCAACATTTTTTTTTTAAATTTGCTGACCAGTGTAATCTGTCGACTAGCTAACTAACTAACCGGGTCAGACAGAGTTAAAGTAACAACTGCCTGATACAGACAAACTTGGATAATAAATGTAACAATGTAGACTGGTTCAATACAGCAATGGAATCACTTTCAAAAGCTCAAGCGTTCAGATTTGGACAATAAATATAACAATGTGGACTGGGTTAAAAAACAGCAACAGAAACATCGTGTGCTTACCTTCAAAAGCTTTGTAGTTTCATCTACTGTGTTTGCTTCCTCAATTATCTTCTTGACGTAGACACTACGGCCATATAAAATCTCTGCAACCGGGTGCTGTATCGGCATCAGAGGCTTCCCACATATGGTGTCTCCGTGAGGGTTTGGTAGAGGCAGTTGTCCCTATAAGAAATAATGAGCAGTCTTTATTATTTAATAACCACAAGCAAAAGCATAAATATGAGAGCCGCCGTTGTGTAGCATTCAATGGATTGGTTGCATTCCAAAGGATTTCCTATACGGCGAACTGGAAACAGGGAAAAGACAGGCAGGAAGGCTAAGGTTACACTAAAAGGACCCAAATAAATGTGATTTGAAAGATAACACTTAGGAGGGATCAGCTACAGACCAACTCCTCTGGAAGCAGACAGGGAAATGCGGACAGTCACACTTTGAAAGAGGCCAAAAGCAGTAAGCTTTAGACGGAGAAATCTGACAGAAAAACTAGCGGCACGGCTCATGGTCCCTAGGGACTGATGGCTGCCTGTGAACTTTTCTTTCTAGTTAGTACTCATTCATTGTCCAGTTGTGCCATTATGTATCACACAGGGCATGCATTCCAGTCTCCATTGAGCTAACAGTATACAGTACTTGGAGAGCTGCCATAGAGCAGCGGCTGGAGGCAAGCCTACTGATCTGAAGGTTGTGCGTTCTGGCTCTGACAGTGCCTGGCTTTTGTCAAAATTGACCTTGGCTCCCAGGTTGACACAGCCCAGGTAAAGTCCTGGCAAGTAAAGGTGGCTGGCGTGATGTTGACCACACCACCCAATGAGTGTTGAATGGTCTATAAAATAAACGTCTAGCCCTATATAACCAATCCATCTAAAGGCACAGAAACGGGTCCTTTACTTTACTTTACATACAGTTAAAAGTTAGTTGTGTATTCTTTACGGGGCGTTGCAGAAACAACCCCAGCAATTGTTTTTGGCTGTTGTGGTTTCTCTAGTCACATTTTATATTCAGTAGTTTGCCACTGCTTTCTGAATGGCCAGCTCTCTGTACCACTGTAGAAACCAACGCAAAACAAACCATCCACAGCTGGGATCGGACCGGGCACACAGGCATTACAAAGCATGTTCACAACACCTAAGCCACAGATGCTGACTTGTATATAGTACTCGGCTTGAACTGCCAAAGTATAAGCCATTATCTGCATACATTTGATTCAATGGTTGTATATACTGGCTGTTGTATACTCTGGCCTTAGAACCTTAGAAGAAATACAGGAGTTTTAAGGAATGACAGAATATGAAATCACAAAATCAAAATAAATGCTAGGAATAAAGCCAGTCTTACAAGTCATCAAAGAACAACAAATGAAGTGGTCTGAACACCTAACAAGAATGCACTGGTACTATCCGCTACAGCGAGCCACACTAAAACGTTACAACGGGTATAGAGCGAGTGGAAGACCTCGGAAAATATGGAGTGATGGCATTAAGAACAGCCTTACAAAAATTTACATCAATCTTAAAAGTGCTCTTGACAGAGCTCATCAACGAAGGTTACATCTCCCCCCCAACACTTTGCTGAAGTATAAGGTGGAAGAGAAGAAGAAGGAGAATAAGTATATACATATACCATGTTATTATAATTATACTACTATCTACAGCACTCTATGCTTTAATTAGTCCTGATATTAAATTATAGATGAATTTTGTATAGAGAATTAATTAATCTCTTGTGTCTAATAAACTAGATGATAAATAGTTTTTTTTTAAACCTTTAAATTGCATTAACTATTGAACTCGGTTCAAATAAAAGCTTATTTATAGAATGCATTTTATACACATACATACGTATATACTTTTTTTCTTTTAAATTGTGTGATCTTTTCATTAATTTGTGTCTTCCTCGGTATTACGTCTCTCTTCTAATGATATGAGTGGCTTCCTCTGTATGATGAGTCTCTCTTCTAATGATATGAGTGGCTTCCTCTGTATGATGAGTCTCTCACTTAATGATATGAGTGGCTTCCTCTGTATGATGAGTCTCTCACTTAATGATATGAGTGGCTTCCTCTGTATGATGAGTCTCTCTTCTAATGATATGAGTGGCTTCCTCTGTATGATGAGTCTCTCTTCTAATGATATGAGTGGCTTCCTCTGTATGATGAGTCTCTCACTTAATGATATGAGTGGCTTCCTCTGTATGATGAGTCTCTCTTCTAATGATATGAGTGGCTTCCTCCGTATGATGAGTCTCTCTTCTAATGATATGAGTGGCTTCCTCTGTATGATGAGTCTCTCACTTAATGATATGAGTGGCTTCCTCTGTATGATGAGTCTCTCTTCTAATGATATGAGTGGCTTCCTCTGTATGATGAGTCTCTCTTCTAATGATATGAGTGGCTTCCTCTGTATGATGAGTCTCTCACTTAATGATATGAGTGGCTTCCTCTGTATGATGAGTCTCTCACTTAATGATATGAGTGGCTTCCTCTGTATGATGAGTCTCTCACTTAATGATATGAGTGGCTTCCTCTGTATGATGAGTCTCTCTTCTAATGATATGAGTGGCTTCCTCTGTATGATGAGTCTCTCTTCTAATGATATGAGTGGCTTTCTCTGTATGATGAGTCTCTCACTTAATGATATGAGTGGCTTCCTCTGTATGATGAGTCTCTCTTCTAATGATATGAGTGGCTTCCTCTGTATGATGAGTCTCTCTTCTAATGATATGAGTGGCTTCCTCTGTATGATGAGTCTCTCACTTAATGAAAAGAGTGGTCTTCTCTTTGTGATGTCTCTTTCTCAATGAGAGGAGTGGCCTTCTCTGTATTATGAGTCTTTTTCTCAATGATAGGTGTGGCTTTTTCCGTGTGATGAGTCTCTTTCTCAATAACAGTAGTGGCTTTCTCTGTGTGATGAGTGTCTTTCTCAATAATAGGAGTAGCTTTCTATGTGATGTCTCTTTCTCATCGACATGAGTGGCTTTCTCTGTGTGATGTCTCTTTCTCATTGATATGAGCCGCTTTCTCTGTGTGATAAGTCTCTTTCTCATCGCGATTAGTGGCTTTCTCTGTGTGATGTCTCTTTCTCAATGAGATGAGTGGCTTCTCTGTGTAATAATAAGTCTGTCTAAAAAAGATAGGTGTCTTCCCTGATGTGATAAGTATCTTTCTCGATGATATCAGTGGCTTTACTGTGTGATAAGTCTGTTTCTCATTGAGATAAGTGGCTTTCTCTGTGTGATAAGTCTCTTTCTCAATAAGATGAGTGGCTTCCTATGTGTGATAAGTCTGACTCAAAGAGATGGGTATCTTACATGATGTGACGAATCTCTTTCTCCAAGATATAAGTGGCTTTCTTTGAGTGGTAAGTCTCTTTTTCCATGATATGAATGACTTTCTGTGTGCAAAGTCCCTTCAACCATAGAAGAGTGGTTTTCTCTGTGTGCAAGTAATTTCTCAATCTATATGAGTAGCTTGTGTGATAAGGTGTCTCAAAGAGATGGGTGTCTTCCATGATGTGATGAATGTTTCTCAATGCAATATCTTCCTCAATGTGACAAGTGTGCCCAGGTGCCATGAGTATCTTTCATCTATGACAAGAATCTTTTTTGATGTGCTATTTTTTGTGTGTGATGAGTATATTCCTTGCTGTTATTAGTATTTTCCTTTCTATAATCGTACTGATCAGAAGGATATCTTCTCTGGCGTAGCACTTATGTCTCATTGTAGGAGTATCTTGCATCTTCTCAGCATAAAACTGTTCTTTTTAAATAAGCTTTTATTAGGTTTTGTTTTGTTTGTTTGTTTAAAAATAGTTTCTTTGTCTGCAAATTCTATGTGTACAAAGCTATACCTAAAAACATATTACTGTCTAAAGATATGAACATGTACTTACAGCAATGGATGACTGACATCTCTGAGACACATCACAGCATCTGATCAACTGGGATACTACTGAATACAACTTGCTCAGGTCTGCATACTGATACTTGATAGGCGGTCCTGTGCCTTCATCTAGAGCCACCAACATGAACTGAGCGGGAACTCGAAGCTTCAGAAGTTGAAGTTTCTGTTGATGAAAGTGATGTACGTATTAACAGAATGAAAATACCAGAATGATTTACCAATTTCATTAAAAAAAATTGTTAATGCATCACTATAATTCTCATAGAGGAGAAGAAGAAGCAGAATTGGAGCTTGTTTTGAAATCGGAGTGCATCTGCCTGAGAGGCAAGGAACCATCAGTCTGCATAAAATGAGTCAGGTCTGTAAAATGGATGCACACAAAACAATCAGGTTCTGGAACAGGACTGCAGTCCAAAAGTGGATGAACAACCAGAACTTTCCGCCAGAGTTTACAGCTGGTAAATGCGAGGAAGCAGAAGAAATGTGGGGTCTTCATCTGTTTTTTCACAAATCTAGGGGGTTGAAACCTATGACCACTGAGCAGATAGGCAGCTCCCCAATCACTAAAAAAAAAAAAAAATGGATATTTAGAATTATTATTTTGCGCATAGGTGATTTTTTTTTTTTTTTGTTTAAACATACCATGGAAGTAATCAATCACTAAATACAAGTAATGAAGAGAAAACTGCTTTCACTCTTTTGACCAAGAAAACCATGGTTTTGCAGACACAGCCACACAGGGCAAAGTGATGTCAGCATAAGTTTATTATGATGTCACAATGACATTTTATGACATCACTACTGTTTTCACCCTAAATTGGCTGGATCTGCAGCACTGGGTGGTGAATTGATACATAACAAGGCAGATGTGGTCAAGGCCCTTTGAGCACAAGCAAAGGAATCAGTAGAGAAAGAAGATTATTATGGCCTGGAGAGAATGAAACACCTGGGTGTAACCAGAGGGTCTGGCCGGCTGACTGAACTCAAGAGAAAAGGCAAGATGGAAATTTAACCAGATTGTGACCGGTACCATCAGTATTGGAACTGCACTGGCTGCTGAAGATGAGGACGGAGCATGCATGGGAATGCCCCGAGTGCTGTGATGTCAATTCTTTGACTGAACTCAACTCAACTCTAAATAATATTTAAAAATACTTTGGAAATGGGCTGGGGGGGGGGGGGGGGTGTGAGAGAATGTGATCATATACCCCACTGCTGCTTACTATGCAGTTGCAACCAGTACCAAAGTTGTTAAATGTAAGTGAACTGGCTCCTGGCCTAAGTGACAATACGTCAAATGAGGTTACCAAACCTTTCAAACTTGTTCTTCATTTGCTTTCAAAGCATACAGATCCTTTGATAAACAACTGAAATTATTCTGCAAAGATTACATCACCAGAAGTACAGTCAGTGAAGTTAAAGTGACATGGACTCGTGACAAGCTGTGGCTTTAGCTTCTTATTAAGCTACACTTTGAATAGCTAAAATGAAAAAGAAGCTGTTTCCCTTTGGTGAGGAATCAGAAAAGCCTCCCATCTTAGATGCTGTAGGAGAAACTGTAAGTCCTCAGGGCAACTAAATAACTGGAACCTCTACCGCTTTCAGACACAACCATTCAGAAGAGAAATACTGATATAACCACCGATATTGAAAACAAAGTTGTAGACTGGATTTCAAAAGTCAAGATCTTTCGCTTTCCAACTGGATGAACTTCTTTATTGCCTTGACTTATCTGGACAGACCACTATTTTGACTTTCTATTTGTGTGAAAATACTTTCTCAGCCATGTCAGTTATAAAACTAAAGGGCCAAATCAAATGCATGTCACTGTGGTGCTTCATCTAAAACAACATCCCAGCCATGCAAATAAGCCTTTTCTAGCCTTGAAGCAGCAGCAAATATCAGTTTGGCTGAAAATTAATTTTGTGTCATCAGACTTGACAAATAAACTGCTATCTAAAATAGTTTTTTCTTTCTGTTTTTTAGTTACCTGTCAGATTGTCCACGAAACAACTTTCGCTGTTCTACGGGTGCCCGATGCAATAAGACTGAATGAATGACACTGATCTAGAAGATTCAAAACAAACCAACTAAACTTTACCGCAGATTGTTTACATATGATTCCCTCGAAGTCGGAGTGCATCCGCCTGAGAGGCAAGGAATAAACAATCTGCATACAAATAAGTCAGATCTGTAAAACGGATATGCATACAACACCATGGTTCTGGAATAAGACTTCCAGAGATGAACGAACAACCAGAACTTTCCACCAGAGTTTACAGCCGGTGAACGTGAATAAAGAAGAAGACATACATATGAAACGACTGCTAACAGATATTCTGGGTGACCGAGGGAGGGTGAAGGAGAAAAGACGACAGACAGACAATCAGTGATTACATATACTATGAAGTGATCCACTCAAAGACAGCTCTCATTACAATTCCCATGCCTCCGCCAAATCCTACCACATACGAAACATACAAAAAGCACACATCTGTGGTAGTATCTATTTAACTTCATTATCTGCCTCACATACTTACAATTTTCATGTTGAGCTCTGGGTTGTTGGGGTTCATGTTCAGATACAGGTGGAAGAGGTGGAAATACTGCTGCAGGTGTCGGCCATGTTCAGAGATATCCTTCTTCAACAGTGATAAAGCTGCCACTAACAGGTGGTCACTCAAGGTAGCGTTGGGGTCATACTGCGTGCTGGCTGTCAACATAGAAGACATCAGGTGCTAAATACTGACAGAATGACACCATTTGATGACACATTAAATAAAGCTCTTGTCTACCAGTGGTCTGAGTTCATTCTGCAGAACTGACAGGATTCGTTTCAGACTAGAATGACTGGGATTGACTTTTGCTTTGTGACAACCTCCTTATGTAATGTTAACAATACTGAATAATACTTTATGCCAAGCTCCTTGTGTAAAGAAACCAATATTTAATACCTTTTGACAACCTGATCTTCAAACTTTAACAATATTTTATCAAACTCTATGCCAACCTTATCATGTTAATATTTAATCACACTTTATGACAAGCTCATAATGTAAACAATATTTAATACTTTTCGACAACCTTATCGTATGTTAACAATATAAAATACATTTTGGACATCTTAATGTTATAACGTTAACATAATTGTTTAATCACACACTATGAAAAATTTTCAAACCTTCCCAAATGCTACCCCCGGGGAAAAATCCCAACCTTTTAAACCCATTTTGAAAATTGCGAAATTTTTTTACCCTTTAACCAAATTTTTTAAAAATTTTTTTACCCTAAAAATAATTTTTATCAAATAAAATTTTTAAAACCCAAAAAAAAAAAATCACCTTTAAATTTATTTGCATTTTTCAAAAAAGTTCTTTTTAAAAGCGGGGTTTTTTTTTTTTTCCCTTTCTTTTTAATAGGGGAAAGGGGGGGGGCCTTGGGGCAAATTCTTTTTAATACTTAAAACCAAAAAAAACCAATACATTTCCCAAAATTTTTTAAATTAACAAACCCCTTTTTCCGGGTTTGGTTTCTTTCCAAAGGCTTTTCAAGGTTTTTTTCTGTTTCCTTTTCTTCCCCTTTTTAAAAATTTTCCCCTAAAAACCCAAAACCCTCTAAAATTTTCTTTTTAAGGGTAAAAACCCCCCAAAAAATTTTTTTCCCCAAAAACAGCCCGGGATTCCCCTAAACACAACCGTTTTACACAAACAAATTAAAAACCCATCCTCCTCCAACAAACAACCCCCAAAAACCATCCTCAAAAAAATAAAAAAACGCTCAACACCCAAAATAAAACCCAATAACGAAAAAAACCTTTTTTTTAAGAAAAAAAACCCAAGCCCCAAACAAAACAAAACCCCAATTTAAATTTAAAAAACAAAGTTCCCCCCCACCATTCCGAAATATTACTTTATGTCATTTTTCCTTTTTTGTTTCCTAACCCCCCAAAAAAACTTCCAAACCCAAAAAATACCAAGGGGGCCCTGAAAATTAAAAAAGCCCCAAACCCCCAAAAATAAATTTTAAAAAAAAACCCCCAAAAAGGCCCAAATTTTTTAAACCCGACAAAAACAAAAAAACAAACCCTCACCATAAAATTTTAATAAAAACCAAAATTTTTGAAAAAACAATTGCCAAAAAAATAAAAAATTTACCCCCTTTAACCACTAACCTCCCAGAATACCCCAATCAGCAAGGCATCCTGCTGATTGCACATACAGTTTCACACAAACAAATTGCAAAACCGCATCCTCCTCCCAAGCAAACACACACACAAAAACTGCATCCTCAACACCCAATAAAAACGCACAACACCCAAAATAGAAGCACACAAAACTGAAAACTGCACAGCACAAAACTGCACAGCACAAAACTGCACAGCAAATTAAATGCAAAATTACAAAACTATCCACCCCATCCATCTCCTGAAATATTGGACTGTCCCGTGACCTGTGATTTTTCCTTGTTTGTTGTCGGCTATTCAGAAAGTACTGGCCCACCACCTAGAAAAATACTCAAGGCCAGTGATGTAACAAGCAAACACAGAGAGAAAGAGAACTGAAGAAAAAAAACACAGGCAAAGTTTCATACCTGACAGAGGCAGTGGAGGACAGGGCCCATCAACCAGGGTAAGACTAGTAAGTATAACAAAAATCTTGACAAAAGTTGCTCGGACCTGGGGATACACAGAAAATGATGCACTTTACACACAACACTCAAAGTTCAATGTGTTCAGTGCTGAAGAGCTAACAATGATGATAACAGCACTAGGGACACTGCCAAAAGAGCTCTGTCCTCATTTCCAGCACCCAGTTCCAATTTTGATAATACTAGTATCAGACTGATTATATGTCCATCCTGCCTCTGCTCTGAGTGTAGAGTGGTGTAGAGTGCTGACCGGATCCTATGGTCACTAACACACATTATGGTCAGCAGGACAGGTGCCCAAGGCGTATGGACTCCTTCAGAACACTGCCTCTTCCCCAGCAAGCTGGCAATACTAGGTTGACCATCTACTTCCTGCAACTAAAGATTTTATCGCATTGATTTTGCACTTAACTCTTTCAGTCCCAACCAACGTATGGCTAGGTCTTGTGTGAATCCCACCCAAAATGTAACATGCTTTTGTGTATTTTTACATTTGACCAGAGCATACTTTAAAAATCTGGCTCTCATAGTTCTTACTTTCTCTGAAAGGATCATACTCACTGTCTGTGCTATTGGTTATTCACACAAATGGGATTTTCTCACAAATTTGTTTGGTACTCAGTGAGTTAATAATAAGAATTACAGAGCTCATGCTCTGTGCTTGATTGAATCTACAGCAGATTACACTTCAAGTAAACTGACAAACAGCTTCTTACACTCAAAGTGACAAACAGCTTCTTACACTCAAAGTGACAAACAGCTTCTGAGTACAATCTGATTCAACTAACTGAGGACAAGAGGCCCTAATATCAAATGCATTCATTTGCTGCAGGACCTGCCTCATCTTACAGATGCAGAAACTGTGACTGAAACTGTCAGACTAGTCGCTGGTGGCACTGTTAGCCTGCCTAGCGACACAACTCTTATAGTGCTGCAGGACCTGCCTCATCTTACAGATGCAGAAACTGTGACTGAAACTGTCAGACTAGTCGCTGGTGGCACTGTTAGCCTGCCTAGCGACACAACTCTTATAGTGCTGCAGGACCTGCCTCATCTTACAGATGCAGAAACTGTGACTGAAACTGTCAGACTAGTCGCTGGTGGCACTGTTAGCCTGCCTAGCGACACAACTCTTATAGTGCTGCAGGACCTGCCTCATCTTACAGATGCAGAAACTAGTGACTGAAACTGTCAGACTAGACGCTGGTGGTGGCACTGTGAGTAGCCTGCCTAGCGACACAACATCTTTATAGTGGCTGCAGGACCTGCCTCATCTTACAGATGCAGAAACTGTGACTGAAACTGTCAGACTAGTCGCTGGTGGCACTGTTAGCCTGCCTAGCGACACAACTCTTATAGTGCTGCAGGACTCAACAGAAGCCCACTTACTAAACATTACCTACCTAGTTCTTGTAGTCCGGACTTTACATTATCTGGTAAGTTTTTAAAAAACGCAGTCATAATGTAAACTATGCAAATTTATATTGTCTATAGCCCATGGTGGGAATCACTGTGGTGGGGCGGCTAGATGCTAGCCATGCATCCGAAGATCAGAAGGACCTTGGCTCCCAAGTCGACCCAGCCTTGAGTGGCCCGGGAAGTAAAGGTGGCCTATGTTATGCTGACCCCATCACCCATCTTTTGCCGATTGGTCTATAAAATATAGGTCTAGCCCTATATGCCTAAAGGGGTGGAAAAGGGTATTTACTTTTTACTTTTATACCCACAGTTCCCAACTAGATAAGGCCTGTGGACCCAGGGCCTGAGTTTTGTGTGAACATCTGTTTTACTGGCTTGCGTGTATGCAGCTGGTTGTTCCTTGCTGCTCGAGTAAGAGCACTGACTCGAAGGAACCCCCCAGTCGGTTGACTCCTATGACATGCTTGTTTGCGAGGCAGTGAATCTATTTTTGTTTTCCCACCACAGTGAGGCCCCAGAAGAGATAATTTAAGCGAGAAGAATTGCTGGAGACAAACTATTCACAACACAAAATCGCCATATCTGAGATTGCCTTAAGAGGTCTTCTTGTTTTAGAATCACAACAACAAACATTTTTATTATAGTCCAAGGACCATTAATTGAGAACCACTGGTCTACACCTTTTTGCAGAAGAAATAAAAACAGTTTCTGGGACTACTACAGTTTTTCAACCTAAAATGGGTGCCAAGAAATGCTCCAGGAAGTAAAGGCGGTCAGAATAGTAATAACCACATCTTCCATTGAGTTGTAATTAGTCTATAAAGATCCCAGCACACTGTATCCAGGGAGAAGCTGTGGCTACAAGGTCTGTTTGAGATCCCCAAGGTCATTTCAAATCTGTAAATAATGGGATTAAAAAAAAAAAAATTTAATACAAACTTGACTCCCAGGTCGACGCAGCCTCAAGTGGGTCCTAGCTAAAGTCATGGGAAGCAAAGTAACATAACATAGGAATGAAAGACAGGGAGCGACTTTACCTCAGAGGAGGGACACTCCAGCAAATATTCCGTAAGTATATTTGGGTTTTTGAATATGACATTCAAAGCAAACCAAGAACGGACATTCTTGCTGGTTCGCAGGTGAATATGGAGGGCATCTGACCAGTCTGCAGCAGGCCCCCTGTATCACAAATATCACACATCAAATCGGTTGTATGGAAACAAAAATACAATACTGATATAAACATTTTAGTCTAAAAAAAATAATATACCAACATAAACACTTTACATTTTAAAATCCCCCCCCCCCCCCCCCCAAATATACTGAAATAGACACCTGAAAGTCTCAAAGGGGCCTCAATGGCAAAGTGGTACAGTCTATTCTAAAAATCATGCTGAAACTTCAACAAACATAAAAAACTCCTGAATGAATCAGCACACATTTTTTAACATTGTCTTAGATTTTCCATATCCTTAAGATTTCATAATTAACAACTGCACAGGTGTCTGCTGTTTTCTTACAGTGGCAAATTTCTGTGATCTTTGTCAGACTAATAACTTGTGCACTCAAAAGCAACAACATAAATTAAAGAATGTACAGTAATTGACACAAATCATGTAATTTAGTTACACCGGAACAATTACTGAGATGCAGATTTGTAAACTTGGGCACGACTCTTGGAATAGACTATAAAACTATTTGCATCACAGAAGTTGTGGATTTTCCCTCTCCTGTAAAACTGTAAATCAACTGTACTCGTTACTAAGTTTCGCTGTATTAGCTATCTTCACAACTGTTAATTTTGTTTAACCTAGTCAATTATTTTTCAACAGGTTTTATATTTCTGTCAAGCACTCTGACGATGGTTCCCAGATCTTGATAGATTGGCAACCTTCTTCTCCTTGGCTTTCACCGGCTGTTAACTCTGGCAGAAAGTTCTGATTGTTCGTCCACTTCTGGACTCTAGTCCTGTTCTAGAAACTGAGTGCTGCATGCACATCCGTTTCACAGGTCAGACTGATTTGCATGCAAACTGGTTGTTCCTTGCCTTATCAGGCAGATGTACTTCGAAGCTCTCAATTAGTCAACTCTTAGGACATGTTTTAGGCAGGCAGTGGGTCTAATTTCCCCACCCCATAATGGGGCCCAAGAACCTATATGGGGTATCAGCAACACTGAAATGGCCACTGAACCCTTGGCAATGCTAAAAAAAAATGAGTCAAATACCTGTGTGAATTCTAAAAAAAAAAATCCCTTTAAAATAACAATTTTACACAGGTCACTGTGTTTAAAAAAAAAGTATTCATGTGTACATTTAACAATTCCCCTGAAATATAGGGATTACTCAATAAACATGAATACAGTGTAGCATTAAATGCAATACATTCCCCTGTGCCCTCAAAAATATATTTATCAGGTAACTCATGCTGCCGGGACCTCTATAAGTGAGGCTTACTGGAAGATGTGACCTCAACATGGCTTTGAAAACCATTCGGTTTGAAGGGAAAATCCCACCTCATGTTTGTGAAGGCACGAACACAGCCAATAGCATTAAATGTACGTCTTGTAAACAGGTAATTATAGACAAGTTATATTTGTGTAATGGCCACTACCCAAAGACCTTATGTATTCAAGAACACCTTAATGCCAAAAAATGGCTTTCTCGGGGAGACAGGGTTAAATATGTCAATGGCTAATGCTAAATGGTCACCTGAGAGATTTCTTTGTCTTAAAACCAACACTGAAGAGAAACTTGGATGCCAATTCTGTACTGATCATGGAAATTTGTTCTATTTCTGGAGTCTGTGGAAATACAAATGTTAGAATCATCTTTAATGCATATTTATGAAAAGCATTTTAAATGTGATGAGCGTGTAAGGTGTATATGCGAGCACACACGCACACCTTCTTTCACTTTGCCATTAAGAGTTGTAGGGAGAAACAGTTTGTGGTCCAGCCCTAGGTGGGTTACACTGGCCATTGTCATTTCATGCAGAAGTTTAATGTCTCTAAGATCACCAATTTTATCTTCTCCTCTGTCCCCTCTTGGTATGGTATCAGGAAGGAGAGAATAAAGATGGGCACATTATATGTGACTCCTAGGGTGTGAAAAAAAGCATGAGGCGGGAGGATCAGCAAGAGATCAAGTTTATTTTAGCCAGATCGTGATGAGAGCGACATTCTGCAATGGACCTGCTATATGATGATGGTGATGATGTGTCCTTTTACTCTAATCTTAGATCTTGTTAGGTGTAGCAGCACATGTAGCTGTGGCTGCATTCTAATGAGATGACCAAACCATTTGATTTTTTGCTTTCAAATGAATTTTGTGACAGGATATATATATATATATATATATGTGGAAGCTATAGTAGTTTCGTGGCTAGACACCTACCTCACGGCCCAAAAGCCCTGAGTTCAAATTTGCACTAGATCACAAAAAACTCCAGATGAACATACTGTTAAATTCAGCCCAATCCTCATGCCAAAATACCTCAGATTCATAGAATTTGGACAGACACAACTTCATATTTGTACATTTTTTTTACAGATACAACTTTATATTTGTACACTTTTGACTCATACCACTTCACATCTGTACCTTTTGGACAGATACAACTTCATATTTGAACATTTTCGACAGACATAATCTTAATGTCTTAACAACTCCCGCCATAATCACAAGACGCAAATGCAAGCAATGCCCAATGAAACTATGAAACCAAAACAGATACATACCACTTTATTCTCAAGAATGCTTTGATTGATGACAAACTGGTTGCAGACCACTAACTTCTTGATGAAAGTGAAGTACTCCACAGAGAACTGGCTCTTCTCATGCATGAAGCGGATGTTCCCACGTCTGACCACCTTCTCAATTGCTTGAGGCATTTTCACAATGGGGGTGGAAGTAGCTGCAGACAGACCAAACGGCTGATAAATTTGTGCTTATTGATTACTCCCTTTAGACATCTTTAAATAATTGAAAATTTAAATATTATTTTTTTTAGGTGTGGGGGGGGGGGAGGGGGGGGGGGGGAGGAGAGATACATTTTCAAACAATTTTCTAGTTGCTTGTGTACCAAATTGATGATAAATGTTTTATGTTTACTGACTACTCCTTTAATACATCTTCACACAGTAAGAAACTTATTCAAAAAGAAGAAAAAAAAAGTTGAAAAAATGTATTAGTTACCTGTGTAAAAAAGTTTTTTAAAATAGATTATTTTTAAAGCATTCACAGGGCAAAAGAGTTAGAAGGACAGTAGGCTGTGTTGTTCTGCATCTTTCAGTCCAGTACATCTGATTTCAGCAAATCCCTAATTAATCGTCAACTCTACGACATGCTTGCTAGGTGTGCAGTGGGTCTCACCTTAACCCTCCCCCTCCCACGCTCCGGTCTCTGGATACCACACGGAAATGTTACATTTATTTAATCTGCCCGAATCATTAGGTACTGTAAAAACAAAAGTTCCCGTAAAACTATATTTCAAATATACCTAATGTCAAATTTTTCACATCCTTGGCAATTTCGTCTTCTGTGACATCATCTATCCTCTCGTAGAACAGTATGTAAGCATTCCACCATCGTTTCTGGCGGCGGAATGCAGAACTGAAAATGATAAAAGGAAGAAAAGCATCTAGAATGAGTTTATGTAAGCTGCATTCTTATCATTTCAGAAATAATATTTTAAAAAATTGGATCAAATCTGATAAACATAAGCGAAGATGTCTGACCAATCAAAACAGTTGCTCTTCAACAGAGAAATGAAGGTTACTTAACAAACAACTGACCCTTGTGCAAACTAGTATGCCCTTCCAACAGTGTACAGGTCACCATTGTGGAAGCCTCTTCCAACAATGAGCTGGTCTTTCTTGAGGAACACAACAATTTAGAAATTTGTATTGTCCTTCTAACAATGAGCTGGTCTTTCATGTGGAAGACTACAATTTAGGAATTGATATTGTCCTTCTAACACTGTAATGGTCACCTTTGTTGAACCCTCTATAATTTAAAAAATGTTTTGGTTCAAACAGCGACCGTGATCTAGATGTTTTACTAGACACATGCACAACATACAAAATTTTGAAACATTTTTAAGGACGATCAATAAGTCTTGGCACAGGCAAAATATTATGAGTGGACAGTAGGCTTGTTGTGTTGTGGTAATTAATTAATTAATTATTTAAAATGAATATTACATTCTTAAATCATGCTGCAGAACATGGCCACTCCTTCTCTTAACTTTTGACCTCTGACCTGCAGACTGGGTCAGCTGATATCTTTGCCATAAAAGGGTCAGCTGCTCACCCTTCTCTTTCTCTCTCTCTCATGCATGCACACACACACAAAACTGGCTGTAATGTTTATCTAAGCTATCTGCTATCTTCACATAAAAACTTAGCTGTAATGGTTGCTCTCAGTCAACTGCTATCCTTTCTCTCTCACACACAAAACTGGCTGTAATGTTTATCTAAGCTATCTGCTATCTTCACATAAAAACTTAGCTGTAATGGTTGCTCTCGGTCAACTGCTATCCTCTCTCTCTCACACACACAACTGGCTGTAATGTTTATCTGAGCCAGCTGCTATCAAATAAAAAAAATTGAGTATAAAATATAGTTTCTAATGCTGGGTAAATACATCGACATCCCTACATGATCTGAGCATCGAGGAGAACTGGCGCAAAAACAGCATCCAATCCTGATAGCTGAGGTATCTGGGCCATCTTAAACCTCATGGTGGCCTGGACAGAACTGTGATGGAGGGTACAGATTTCATAAAATGAGGCAGAGAAACATGGATACAACACACTGAAGATGCTTTGGTTGTGAAAGCACATAGGGCTGGAGAACTGGCTAGAGAAAGAGAGACTTTCAGGCGCGCCATGAAGAAAGTGACATTATGTAAAGGACCTGCTGAGTGATGATGATGAGAAATGCTGGGAATAAAAAGAAAACTGAAGAGAAAGAAATATGAAGCAAATAAATGATAGATTTCAGCCACATTGAAAGACATGACAGTCTTCTTGGGAAGGAAAAAAAAACCCACATGGGAGGCATAGGTTGAAGACAATCAAGCAAGAAGCAGGCGGTGATAAACGGGGGATGACAATATAAAGAGATGTACAAACGGAAGTCTGCCAGAGTGCATGGAAGTCTGCCAGAGTGCATGGAAGTCTGCCAGAGTGCATGGAAGTCTGCCAGAGTGCATGGAAGTCTGCCAGAGTGCATGGAAGCCTGCCATGAGCCTGCCAGAGTGCATGGAAGTCAGAGTGCATGGAAGCCTGCCAGAGTGCATGGAAGCCTGCCAGAGTGCATGGAAGTCTGCCAGAGTGCATGGAAGTCTGCCAGAGTGCATGGAAGTCTGCCAGAGTGCATGGAAGTCTGCCAAAGTGCATGGAAGCCTGCCAGAGTGCATGGAAGCCTGACAGAGTGCATGGAAGCCTGCCAGAGTGCATGGAAGTCTGCCAAAAGAGTTCAATGACAGTAGGCCATGAGGTAGACCAACAAGATGTGGATAGATAATATATAGACAGGCCTACAAACACTTTTGAGTCACCAATGGAAACAGAAGTCCAATCACAGATATGACTGGTGATATCTGCAGCAAAGAACCTTAAGGACTCAGAATGCTGAAGAAGAAGATATTAGCACAACTAGCTCACAAAGATTATGGTCAAAGGTTCCTCACCGTTTTAGCATGTGATCATAGACCTCTCCCAGGTACTCGCCACCAAAACACTGATTCTTCATCTCCTCCTCATCATCCATCTTGCACTCGGTCACATCACCATCATCAAACTTGTACCATTTTGGTGTGGGCTCATTTGGACTTCTGAAACACAACAGGTCACA